GGAAATGAAACCGTCTTCAAAAGTTGGCAGAGTAAGGTACTGTGATTTCTAGGTGTGCTCTAGATCGTTGTTTGTGGGACGAGTGTGACAGCATATTTGAATGTTTCAATGGTCTTGGGCGGGGATTTTGGAGGAGACCAGCGGAGCAGTCATTTCCCAGCTGGTGCACGGATACCTGTCTTCGCTTTCAACAGCGTTCGAGCGCTACTTCCAACGCAAGACCCACGAACTGAAAAGGAATGGATCCGCGACCATTGTCACCTGTTGAGTGTGAACGCTGGCGACTCCAGCATGTCCGCGCAAGAAGAGATCAGCTGGCTGGGATCGCAATGACGGGCCTGGAAAAAAGGATGTTCGGCATCAAAAACTCTGCGGTATTCTGGTATATGAAAGTCATGGCATACACAGCAGCTCTGAATCGCTTGTTGCATTTCCGACACTTATCTGTGTGAAAGCGGGTTTTTGCGTACAGCAAACAATGGACCAACTGCTGGCATAGCATGTTCCAGGATGGGTGTTTTAGGTTCGTCCTCACCCGAGATGGGCCCGTCTCATTGCGGAGAACCAGCTCAGGGCTCTCATTGATTTGCCCGCCCCCCGCCTTGATGGTGGTTGTATTTTCATGAATTTCATTTGTTTATGTTGTAGTTTTGAGGGTATGTTTAAGTGTTACACATGCGGGTACCAGAGACGAGCAGAGAGGTTGTTATTGTTATTTATATAACAATGTCATTATTTATTGTTGTAGATGTCAGGAGGAAGTGCAAAAAAATATTAATTGTGTCTTAGGACGCTGCTAATAAAGTTACATACAAGTACACAGTGGATTCAGGCTTTTTATTATTATATTTAAAAAATACCATGGTCTTGTCATTTTATTTTGTTGTATTTATCCGCCACACCTTAAAGGCCGGTCCGTGAAAATTTGTCTGACATTAAGCCGGTCCGTGGCGCAAAAAAGGTTGGGGACCGCTGATGTTGAGCACAACATCTGTGATCCATGATTTGACTTACTTCAAAATAATTTACTGACTTACCCCCAAAATGCACTAAATCGCAGTAACTGCACTCTGCACTAACTGCACTCTGCTTTGTGTTGTGTTTAACCGTCCGTTTATTGTCTTATCAGTTTTGATTTGTTGTCCAATGTATACGCTGGTAATCACAGGCAATGTGTGTCTTTTTGATAACCCTGAACCCATTTAGATGAGGCATTAACAAGCCCTGAGGCATCTTCCGTAAAATAGCATTAAGAGAAGTTACAGTTTGTCCTATAGTAACTGTCGCACTACCTTGCCAAGTAAATGTTTTGATGCATTTTAATACCCAACTTTATTTAGTCTTCTATCAAACATCTATTTGTTTACACTTTTTAAACAAAAGATACTTGTTTGTTGTTGCTAGTTTTTTATTTAAGCCTCATTTTAAATTGAAATATGCCCTGAGGCTTCAGCTGTCGCCATCTTTGATATAAAAGGTTACAAACAGCAGCTTGAAATGTATCAAACAATGTAATTATTATTATCTCAATCTATTTATAGGGTGCTTTATATATTTAACGCATCTGAATACCTCTTTTATAACTTCATAAAAGGGATTTCCTCACTCATTGAACTAGGTCCCATAGGTCAACCTGTTAACATGATCACAGATTACAATAATGGTATTTATTTACTCGTTTGAAAACGTGTGTGTAAAACAGTGGTTTACAGCACGTAGGAGACAGATGGTTGGGGTCTTTGATGAGCTTCTGATTTGAAAGTGATCATCAGAAAAGCAGCTCTGCATCTGTCTAGTGTTTATCTGTTTCACTTCTCTTCACCTGCCAGTTCCTCTCTCTTTGGCCGTCTTCCTCTTGTTTGTTCCTCTATTCCCATGTAACCAGCCCGCTGCCAGAGCCATGCACGCTGCCCAGAGCAGATCAAGTGATCTACTCCACAGTGAGCTGAAGGTCAGTTTATGTTCTCACACTCGGCTTGAACCACTGCACGCTTTTTCATATCAGTTCTTCTATTCAAGAGGAGTTCATCCTTTGCGAGACAACGAGAGAGAACGTCTTTTGTCCATCACACTTTCATTGATCCCTTTATCTCAAGTTTCATGGTCAAACATGACAACTGAACAGTCCCTCGATTATATCTGGAGATGCATTAACGTGTCACTAAGTTCAACAAGGTATTATAAAATGGTCAAATAATACAGATAAATAAATATATGAAAAGCAAGTCATCTGCACGGTTGGAGGGAGTTGCATAACCCACGTAATCACCACGGGATCAAATGTTAATCCACGTTTTGGACACTGCAAACTCAAAGTGGGATGTTCCAACTACTGGAATCCCTTGAAATCTATCATTTAATTTCCTGACTTAAAAAAAAAAATGTATGTGCGGGAAAAGTGAGATATAGAAAGTGAATCCACTGCAGTTACGTAAAAGGTTATGGTGTATGTTGATGGTGCAGTTGCTCAAGGGGACTGCAGAGATGTGCAGGGATGCATACACGTGTGTCTTAGATTCTTTTTTAAAGAATAAATAACAAAAACATTGCAATCCCTGACTCATTCTTAATCCAATCCTAATAAAAGGCTCCTTAAGGACTCAGTAACTCATCACAATTGCACGACAACAGCTCAGCTCTGATATTAAAATCTTCATAATTGCGTCTCGTTTCGTCAGTATGAATGTTAATTCTGTCAACAGAGGAATAATCACGGCACGTAACAAGCTGGAATTGTGATCGTAATAGGAAAAGCATCAGTATGCATGACAATCAAGAACATTTATTTGGAATTCTTACATTGTATCACTAACTTGTAGTAGCACACTCTCACATTTCCCTAAGTAGAAACTGACCTCCAGATTTGCTGCTGGACTAATTTCTAATCCATATGCACGGCCAGAAGGACGCACCTCAAACTGTTTTCATTTAGCAGACTGAGGCCGTTTCTCAATCTCGAGGATTCTGGCTTCCAAGCCAATATTTCAAGGATGCTACGTCATCGAGTGCCGCCGAAGGACTGTTCCAATCTCCAGCATACTTGGAATTCCACCGAGGCCGCGTCCTTGGTTTGGGGGAAGTTTCGAGGCTGCACATGGGTAGACTTCGCGTCCTTAAAATCCCCACAATGCTTTGCACACGGACCAATTTCAAAAACCCTTGCGGAGAATGGCTGAACCGACGCAGCACACGTTTAAATGTAAGTATGTAGTGGCGTAGAACATGTGTTGGTAAATATGTTACTTTGTTACATTTGTTTGTTATCACCAAAAATGTGTTCTGTGAAAGTAAAGCAATTTCATAATTAGATAGACATCGTGAGGTATTTATTTTCGGTACAGTTTATGTTGAAACCGTTAGAGAGAGTGGCACACTTGTTAGCCTGTTCCATTCTTCTTCGTTTTCCGAAGCCATGGCTTGGAAGCATACTTGCTTTGTTTCTGAGGGAAGTGACTTGGAAGTACGCGACTACCAAGCCAGCATCCTCGTGATTGAGAAGCACCCTGAGACTCGATGACCTACTTGACCCTGCTGCTCTCACCTCATTGTCATTCATCTCCCACCCAGCCTCTGTCCCTCCTCTCCTGTAGAAGTACACTGCCACCTGCTGGATGAACAGCTCGTGGTTTCTGCCTCCAGTTGGAACCAGTTGGCTGCAGCAGAGGCTGATTTGCTGCCAAGACGCTTCCCCATTATTGTGCAGCAGAGCGTGCTATTGCTGCACTCTGCTGGTGTTTCCAGGTAAGGACACTGTGCGGTCACACGTGTCTGTGACTTTCAATGAGTCACAATCAAGAATGTTCTTTCGGCAGGCCATCATTACCCAGTTCTTGTGTTAATTTGTTCAGAAAGTTGAATTAATATGCCCCCGAATGGTAATTTGGTCTATGCATTACATGAATGCACACAATGTACAACAATATCTGTTTTCTTTTTGTTTGTTTTTATTACTACCGATTTTTATTCCATATTTGACTATATTTTGTAATACTTTTAATATTTTTCTAGTTCTCTACCTGTGTTTTTAGTTGTTGTTTTACTTGTATGTATGCATCACGACACCAAGTGAAATTCCTCGTAGGTGTAAACCTACCTGGTAATAAACCTGTTTCTGATTCTGACTTGATTGTTTGATTTAAAGGTTTCTTCAATTGTCGGGAGCAAATTGTCATCTAATAATAGTTAACGCTGACTGCACAGGGGAATGTCTAATTATTTGTATTATCAATTTAAATATACATAGGGCACTCTGGGGTGGAAACTTCTACAGGGAAAATGCAGAATAATGCAATAGTCCTGCAAAAAAATCCATTCTATAAT